GGGGCTGGAGAGATGGCTCAGCAGCTAAGCGCACCTACTGCTCTTCTGGAGGACCCAGGTTCAATTCCCAGCACCCACATGGCAGCCAACAACTATCTGTAACCCTCACATAGCCATACATGCAGGCAAAACACCAATGCACATAAAATAAAAATAAATAAATTAAAAAAAAAAAAAGTCCCAGGTCGTTGCTGTCCTTGAAAGGCAGAAGCCAGTTAACGATACTGGCATTCACTTAAGAGTCTCTTAAAAGGAACATTCCCCATGCTGTGCTAACCACCACCAGCAAATCCTCACTGTACAAATTAGGATCCAAGGCCTCCAGAGCCTAGTCCACTGGCACAAGCTGTGGAAGTCAACATCAAACATGGGCCTTCTGATGCCGAAAGCCACTCACCCATGCACACAGATATCCCAGATGGAGAGCCATCAAGCCCTCCCATCTGTCCCCCACGTGTGTGCTCCCCACCGTAATCATCAGGCAATATCCCGTATGTAGTCTGAACCTTATCTTGCTCTCAGGACTCCACTCACCCGTGAGAGCTGATCCGAGGGCAAGGAACACACACAGGAAGATGTTCCCAGGCTTGGTTCCATAGTTGTCAATGATCTGGCCTTGGGAGATGGTGAAGATGATCCCAAACACCTGGAGGAACATACAGAGGGCAGGAAACAAGGGCTTAATCGACGAGGCCTTGGGAAGGATTAAGGTGACGTACTGAGCAGGGCGGTGGTAGCACAAAAGTCTTCCATCCTAGCACTTGGGAGGCAGAGGCAGGTGGATCTCTGAGTTCGAGGCCAGCCTGGTCTACAGAGTGAGTTCCAGGACAGGCTGCAAAGGTACACAGAGAAACCCTGTCTTGAAAAAACAACAGCAACAGATGCCACACTGTAAGGCAAGCACAGCCAAGAGGGAACAAGGAGAAAACAGGGTCCTACCTGTGCTGACACGTTGAGGAGGCCAGACGACATGCCTTCAGATTCTGGGTACGTGAGCTCCACCGCAAACTCAAACCCCAGGGGTAGATAGCCAGTCATGAAGAAGCTGACGTCCAGACCAGAGAACAAGACGATGGAGAATCTCCAGAACAAGATGGGGAGCCCACCTTTCCCCTGAGACCCTGCTTTTCTCTTCCCATCAGGTTAGCCATCCATCCATCTACCAAAAGGGGGAGATCTCTGCAGACATCTAGGCCTTGTGCTCAGTGGGTCTCTAATGTCTTCCATGCTCTCCCCAGGCCAGCCATGACACGTTAGCATTTATGGAAGGGGCAAGAGTACCTGTGTGGGTTCACTTTCAGCTGAGAATGTGTGGTCTAGCTCCACAGGCCCTGAGTTAGACGGGGAAGTGCCTGGACTTTGGGCTACATCGCCATGGATTTCTGGGACCTGAAAGGAGTTTGGCGTTCTCCTGATTTCCTCCCCAGTAGGAGGCAGCTGGGAAGGACTGAGAGCCAGACAGCTCTCCCACAGCTCATATGGCCTGAAGGAAAATATCTGGGGGGTGGAGCCCGGAAATGTCCCTGCCAAAGGCCCGTGACTCTGTGCATTTTCTCTGCTAATGTGTCTGAAAATGCCAGTTCTAACTCCGTCCACCTGCACCAGGCTTCCTCGTGTCTTCATACCATGGCCTCTCTCCTTCCTTCTAACTCCCTACACAGTTGGACACACTTCATTTTTAGATGAGGAGACGTAAGTTCAGCATTAGGTGGCATGTATGGGCTCTAACAACAGTTGGTAGCAGAACTGAGCCCTGCACCAGGAGTCACTGAACATTCCCTAGCATCCCAGATGTCTTGAAGGGACATCTTCATGTCCATGCTTCATTCCATCCCGCAGGACAGCCCAGTTCCCTGAGATGACTCAGTTTTTGTTTTGGTTTGTTTTTTTTTTTTTTGTGGTTTTGGGTTTTTCTGTTTTGTTTTTTGTTTTTGTTTTTGTTTTTGTTTTTGTTTTTCAGACAGTCTCTCTACATAGCCCTAGCTATGTAGGGAACTAGAACTCACTCTGTAGACCAGGCTGGCCTCAGACTCACTGAGCTCTCCCTGCCTCTGCCTCCTGGGTGCTGGCATTCAAGGCATGCACCACTCTACCTGGCCTATGCCTCAAGTATGAACAAGACCCCTCAGCACCATTTCCACATCTCCTGAGGCCAGTGAGGAGGCAGCCAAGGGGACATGCACTGCATCTTAGGCTACTGGCCACGCCAGGAGCCAAGGGATGTGTTTTCCAATTAAACAGGTCAGACATGAAACTTACCCCAGGGTGCCAGCAGTGATGAATACCACCCATAAACGATCCAGGTTTAAGGTGAACGTGTACACCACCATGCCCACCAGAGTCATGATGTACACTACCAGGGTTGTCTGCCTATGGATAAATGCAAAGAAGTCGAGTCATGCATCCTACTAAAACAGCACCCATTGCTAATCTGTTCATTCCACGAGGATCTACTGAACATCTGTTCTCTTACCGGCTCTCTGCAGTGTGCTGGCACATCAGCTTTCATAAAAAGTGTCTCCGTGTAGGTGAGGAACACTAATCTGACAGTTATTCATTTACAATAAATAATCACACCACGATCAAAGTTACAAAGAATAAGACTAGCTGGATGCATGCTTTGCATGCTCTCTCCACAAACCTAACCTGCTGTGTCCAATCCATGGGTAAGAACAGGACAGCCCTGTCCTCCTTCTGTCCCCCACCAAGAAAAAAAAAAAAAAAGAAGGTGGGGTGGATGACAAGACAAGCATCAGCTGTAGTCAAAGTGGTGATGGTCAAGCCTACCTCAAAGCTTTCAATATTGCTTGCTGCGTATGAAGTCCCAAGCCCCCACAGCAATGCTGGGCAGTAGCCTGGCTTGCCGACTCCCTCTTGTAAGTTCTTCCTGTGGCCCTTTGCACAGTTTTTCCTGTTGAATCTTTTGAATCTGAACTACTCTGCTCCAGACAATAGAGCTGAAAGAGAATGTTCTCTAATCCCGAGCTAAGCGCTTGACTCCAAAGCCAAAGGGAGAAGCCACCACCTACTCCCCACGGCCTTTCTCTTTGTGCTGGGTCTGAAGTCAGGCTTGCCTCTCCCACGCTCCTCCACACCCTCCCTTCACAGTGTTGGCCACCCAGAAATCTTATGGCCCTGATTCCTGCAAACAGACCTGCATTTTGCTCTCTGTACCACTTCCTGTAGGATGCTGCCTCGGCACACCCTTCTGTCCTTCTGCCACGAGCACCAGGACTCAGACGTGACCCCTCAAAACCTTTACACGTCACCTCTGAAGCCAGGAACACAGTGGGACACCAGCAAGCACGTTATGGTATATGAAACTAATAATTTTATTGGAGTTCAGATTCTGTTACATACTTTACATGGTTTGAAATCAACCCTGCAAAGAAATCTCTGGCAACCCTTAATCTTGCCAATGAAGAAACAGAGGCTCTTCATTGTGTGTTTAAAGTCACTAATGGGCTGAGTAAATGCAGAAGGTAGGATCTGCCCCTGAACTGAGTTTGAAACGCTGGCACTATCTCAAGCTGCACACCAGAATAATAATCTACTACGCAGCTGCATTTGGGGGGAGAGGTCAAAGCCATAGCCTCTATGTTACGGGAGTTCCTGCACAACGCTTCTAGAAGATGTTGTCCTCACCAGGTTCTGAGGAGGGACCTCCTCCCTTCACCCCGATCCACTCCCTCTATTCCCACCACCCTCAGAAAGCATGCTTGTGAACATGTGCATTCTCAGTGATTCTATTCATCAGATAATTTAAAAACAAAAAAATGTTCTACTGTGTTTGGTAAGCCACAACTCTACCTTCATACAGTGGCTACTTAAAAAAGCAAAACAAAGCCGGGCGGTGGTGGCGCACGCCTTTAATCCCAGCACTCGGGAGGCAGAGCCAAGCGGATTTCTGTGAGTTCGAGGCCAGCCTGGACTACCAAGTGAGTTCCAGGAAAGGCGCAAAGCTACACAGAGAAACCCTGTCTCGAAAAACCAAAAAAAAAAAAAAAAAAAGCAAAACAAAACTATGCCCTAGTCCCAGCCTGAGATAAACAGACAGACCTCAACGCCCAGTTTCCAGCCTCTCACCGAGGGTAGACAAATCCAGGAGTTTGGGGAGGAAGAGAATTGATTCACAGCTGGCTCTGGACACTGAGTGTAAGAACTGGCTATAATCCGCTCCTGAAGAGGGCAGAGCAAGAGCCTCCCCAGGCCTTCACTGTATTTTCTAATTCCTCTAAGTCCTCTGGCTGCCCACGACCCCGCCAAGCCAGCATTCCAACCCCTCCCTTTTCCTGCTGCAGGGCCGGCCCTGGAAGAAGGGACACTGCTGTCCTCTTGCCCGGGGGTGGCCAGCCTTCAGTGCTTTTGTATCTGGCCGAAAAAAGCAACTAACGGAGTTGTTATAATACGGAGACAGAGAGGCAGCCAAGCTTCACCAGCAATAATTACGCCAGACTCCTGGTTGTAGTAAGCCGGGAAGCCACATCCCCCGGGAGCAGCCTCAGCTGGCCTTTGACTAGGCCAGCCAAAGTGAGACTTGACCCGCCCAGAGGCTCACAGAAGTGGGTCTGTGTGGCAGAAAACAGGTCTACCACTGTCTGTTGCCTCCAGACACTGGGAACTTTGGAGGTTTCAACAAAGCAGCCTGGAGCGCTGCCTACCCCGGAGCAGGAGCATCCTGGCAGTTGCCTCCAAGGCTAGTGTTTACTGAACACCCTCTGGGGGAGGAGCACTGCCGCAGAGTCACAACCAGAAGGGGAGAACAGGACCGGCAATGTAGCTCTGGCACTTGATTACTTGCCTAGCATACACAGGCCCTGAGTTGGACTCTCAACTGGCCGATGAACTGATGCCCACTGAATCCCAGATGTCCTCCTGTCTACCTCCCGGCCTGAGATTACAAGCACATGTCACCGTGCGTGTCCTTTTATGTGCATCCTGGGGTGCAGACTCAGGCTCTCATGCTTACATGGCAAGCACTCTATCATCGGAGCCACCTCGCCCACCCCCAGCTTGCATCTCACAAAGCAGACCCTCCTACTACATGGGCATCTGCAGAGCAGGGTGTGAGGATTCTGTGTTTATAGGCCAGGATTAGGCTGGCATATACTGAAACCTTTTACGACCACTCAGGGCTCGTAAGAGTGTCCTGGATAGTCAGGTCCAAGGCACATCACGATATTTGCAAACAAGATAAAAAAAAAAAACAAAAACAATTGTAAGATAAGATGCTCTGCAAACTAGAGCAAAACGCAGAAAGCTCAGTTAGGCCAGGGCAGCCAAGGGCATGGGCAGTCACAGCGCCTGCTCTTCACTCTTCGGGGATTCCACAAGCTCCCAACTGCTGAGGTCTCCTTTCCACATTTATTTTCACTTCTTCCCACGAGGCTTTAGGCAGACGGCCTGGGGAGAAGGACTACGCTAGCCTTCGTGTCCACTCTTCCTAGCCCTTGCCAAGACCCCGCAGAGTGAGTGATGAGTTCCACTTTGTTAAATGAGGAAACCAAGACTCACAGAAAGCAGGAACTTACATCCCTCGGCTTGACTGCTCACACCTCCGGCTGCTGCCCCGCCCCAAAAGCTGTCGAGCTATGTTCCTAAGAAGTGTGTCATTTCCCTGGTTCTTGATCCAAAAAGAGTCACTCACTTGTAGGTTTTGGACTTATCCAGCCAGATGCCTGAGATCATAGCTCCAAACATCCCTGCGATGACGATGGTCAGGCCAATTCGTCCAGCGTTCACTTCTTCACCCTAGGGAAACCATAGAGACCACCCCGTGGGATCCATTACAGCTAGTATTCTGCAAACACCAGGCTCAGACAACAACCTGGGGAAAATTCTAGAAGAGTTGTTCTTCCCCACAATAATATCCCAGCTGTGTATTTATGACGCTGTATGTTGGGGTCAGTCAGATATATTATTTACTTAATTTTTCTTTTTTTTTGAGATAAGGTCTTACTATGTAACCTTGTCGGACCAAAACTTGGTATGTAGACCAGGCTGGCCTTGAACTCACAGAGATCTACCTATCTCTGCCTCCAAACTGCTAGGATTAAAGGGGTATACCACCATGCTCAGCCCCAATATTTTAAATTAATTTAAAATTAATCCTTACAGCAATTCAATCTTATATATCATTGTTCCCATTTTATAGATGGGAAAATATACTAGAACATACATATTTATTTCATCCTTCTATTTTTCTAACTGTGGCCATGCATCTAAGGATGGCTATGAATGTGGCCTGACACATTTGCAGATAACAGTGTCATTTTGCAATGTCAAAACGTGTTGAGCACTCCTGTTGACATTATTATTTAATTCTCATAATCCCCACCATACCGTTAGGAGTCAGTTTGTACCCATTTGATGATGTGAAACTGAGGCACAGTGAGATTAACCTGCTAGCCCAAGGTCACAGGCATATGTCGTTAAAGACAGAGCTAGGACATGACCTTAGAACCAGCTCTGAAAACAGGAACATCAAACAATGGTGGCTTCTGCCCCTGCAAGCGTGACATCTACGGCCTTGGTGCTCCTGACACTATGACACTCAGTATCGCTTTCCTGATATCCAGCCTTACTGGTTCTGGAAACAGTGTTCTAAAATGCTTTAATTATTCCAGGACAGCCAGGTCTACATAGAGAGACCTTGTCAATAATAATAATAATAAAAGAAGAAGAAGAGGAGGAGAGGAGAAGGATGAGGAGAAGAAGAGGAAGAAGGATCAGGAGGAGGAAGAGGGAGTGAAGGAAGAAGAAGAGGAGGAGGAGGAAGAGAAGGAAGAGGAAGAAGAGGAGGAGGAGGAGGAGGAAATTAATAAGAAATAAGATGCTGGGGCTGGAGAGATGACTCAGCAGTTAAGAGCTGGGAGGAGCTGGCTGCTCTTCCCAAAGCCAGGGTTCAGTTCCCAGCACCCACATGGCAGCTCACAAGTCTGTAATGCCAGTCTCAGGGGGATGGAATGCCCTCTTCTGGTCTCCATGGACATTAGGTACATACAGGATGCATAGACATTCATGCAGGCAAAACAGCCATACACATAAAAATAAATAAAAATTTGCTGGGCCCTGGTGGCACACACCTTTAATCCCAGCACTGGGGAGGCAGAGCCAGGAAGATCTCTGTGAGTTCGAGGCCAGCCTGGTCTACAGAGTGAGTTCCAGGACAGGCACCAAAACTACACAGAGAAACCCTGTCTCGAAAAACAAAACAAAATAAATAAATAAATAAATAAAAATTTTAAAAACCCAAACTCTTTAACTGAACATATAGGAGTTCAAAATTAAACCTTGCCCTTTTAATAAATAAGATATAAATATACGCATACATATACTTATTCTCTAGTCTTTTTTTATACAAATTTTTATTTCATTTTGTTTCGTGTTTGAGTATTTTGCTTGCGTGTACCTATGTATACCACATTCATGCCCAGTAGTTGCGGAGGCCAGTCAAAGGTCTCCAATTCCCTGGAACTGAAGTTACAAGTGGTTGTGTGCCACCCTGTGCTTTCTGAGTACTGAACCCAGGTGCCCTGGAAGAGTAGCTAGTGCTCTGATGCACTGACTGAGGTATCTCTCCAGCCCTTATTCTCTAGTGTTAAAAAATAATCTTACCCAAAAAAAAAAAAAAAAAAAAGCCGGGCGGTGGTGGCGCACGCCTTTAATCCCAGCACTCAGGAGGCAGAGCCAGGCGGATCTCTGTGAGTTCGAGGCCAGCCTGGGCTACCAAGTGAGTCCCAGGGAAGGCGCAAAGCTACACAGAGAAACCCTGTCTCGAAAAACCAAAAAAAAAAAAAAAAATCTTACAAGAGGTAATTATAGCTGGGTGTGGTGATACACGCCTTTAATCTCAGTACTTGGGAGGCAGAGGCAGGCAGATCTCTGTGAGTTTCAGTCCAGCCAAGGCTGTATAATGGAACCCTGTTTCAAAAAAAAAAAAAGAAGAAAAAGAAAAGAAACGAAAAAGAAAAGAGCTGGAAGGTGGTGGCAGACACCTTTTATCCCAGCACTCAGGAGGCAGAGGCAGCAGATCTCTGTGAGTTCGAACCTAGCCTGTCCTGAGTTCCAGGACAGCCGGGGCTACACAGAGAAACCCCGTCTTGAAAAAAGAAAAAGGTAATTATATGTCTTTTGCAGAAAAGAGAGAGGTCTAAGATGATAACATGCTATGACATAGGTTAATATCATCAATACTTAAATTGAGCTCTAGGCCATCTCCCTCCAAATCCTGTAAGCACACCACCATCGGAGGCCAACTAGAACTAATTAGACCCAAGAGTGACAGCTCTCCAGCCTTTGAAGAGACAGGTTTGCAAGCTTAGTATCTCTGCCCTGCCCAGCATGCCTGCCCTGCCCAGCATGCCTGGGATCTGCCTTACCGGGAAGTGCAATATCACCATACGATTCAGCAGAGTGGATAAGGCATAAAAAGCACCAGCATTCAGTCCTGAAGAAGGCAGGGTGAAACACATTAGGATCCGTCATTTCTCAGACCATAGACTAACATCTTCCTCCTCCCCACATCCCTTAGAGGGGTTAGAAGTAATCTCCATCCCTGCTTCTACCCTGCATGGTGTCCTCAGAGCAGAAATATTCAAGGAAATATGAGGGACTTTGTAGTTCTTCTGAAAGAAACACTTGAAAACAACTCAAATTAACCATTGTAGCCTTTTTTTTTCCCCCACACACACCATTACACCATGCTCCCTTTAGCCTGCCCTGGAAATGACTCTGTGCAAGACCACTCCAGGTCCGAAACATGTATGTTCTTCCTTTCAGTTTTATCTAGACCTATGGGGTTCAAAGAAGCAGTGGACACACTCCACACACACACACACACCCATGATCCTATTCCCTCTCTGAGCACCCAGACTTGGGGCCCTGACACCACTCCGCCTGCTGGCTATTTCTCTCATCTCTCCTCCCCTCCACTTGTCTGTTCAGGGTCATACAGAGCTACTATGTGAAACTAAACTACACCTGAATGCGCATTTAGTTGATGTCCGACTTCATCAGTTCATTCAACAAATAATGGAGTACCTGGAAATGACTGGTAGAAATAGAGAATAGGAGACTGGGAGATGGTTCAGGTGGTGTGTAAAGTTTCTGTCACTCGGGCATGAAGACCTGAGTTTGGATCCTTAGCATACATGCAAAGAGTCTGGATCCCTAGCATACATGCAAAGAGTCTGGATCCCCAGCATACATGCAAAGAGTCTGGATCCCTAGGATACATGCAAAGAGTCTGGATCCCTAGGATACATGCAAAGAGTCTGGATCCCTAGGATACATGCAAAGGGTCTGGATCCCTAGTATACATGCAAAGGGTCTGAATCCCTAGCATACATGCATAGAGTCTGGATCCCTAGCATGCATGCAAAGGGTCTGGATCCCTATCATACATGCATAGAGTCTGGATCCCTAGTATATATGCAAAGAGTCTGGATCCCTAGTATACATGCAAAGAGTCTGGATCCCTAGCATACATGCAAAGAGTCTGCATCCCTAGCATACATGCAAAGAGTCTGGATCCCTAGCATACATGCAAAGGGCCTGGATTCCTAGCAAACATGCAAAGAGTCTGGATCCCTAGCATACATGCAAAGAGTCTGGATCCCTAGCATACATACAAAGAGTCTGGATCCCTAGTATACATGCAAAGAGTCTGGATCCCTAGCATACATGCAAAGGGCCTGGATTCCTAGCAAACATGCAAAGAGTCTGGATCCCTAGCATACATGCAAAGAGTCTGGATCCCTAGCATACATACAAAGAGTCTGGATACCTAGTATACATGCAAAGAGTCTGGATCCCTAGCATACATGTAGAGTTTGGATCCCTAGTATACATGCAAAGAGTCTGGATCCCTAGCATACACGCAAAGAGTCTGGATCCCTAGTATACATGCAAAGGGTTTGGATCCCTAGCATACATGCAAAGAGCCAGGCACAGGCTCTGGAGTCTGAAACCCCAGTGCTTTGGGGAAGTGAAGAGACAAATGGATCCTGGACTCACTGGCCAGCCAGCCTAGCAAAACTGACGAGATCCAGGTTTCAGTGAGAGACTCTGCTTCAAAAAAATGTGAGTTGGGAGAGAGAAGGAATGGGGGACATTACGAGGCGCTGTGGGGGAGGCAGTAGATAGTATGATCAAGATGTATAAATAAATGAAATTTTCAAAGAATAAACAAAAATACTTTTTAAAAAGGTAGACAGTAACAAGAAGACATCTAATATTGATTCTGGCTTCTATGCATCGTATATATGCACACACCTACATGAACACATTCATATGTGTTTATAAACACACACAGGAAGGAAGGAAGGAAGGAAGGAAGGAAGGAAGGAAGGAAGGAAGGAAGGAAGGAAGGAAGGAACATAATAAGCCACACAATCAGTTAATGACTACGCTGAGATTGGAACTGGCCTGCAGGAGAAAGGGCCTCCTGGCTTTCCTTCAAGGATGATGATGACGATGAAGATGATGACGACAGTATCACACACATAGGTACTAGCCCTGTTCTAAGTACCTTATGATCTTTATAACTTCCCTAGAAGTTAGTGTTAGCATACCCATTTTACAGATGAGGGAAATGCACACAGTTAAAAAGCAAACCCCAAACTGGGTGAGGTAGTTCAGACTGCTAATCATATCCCAGCACTTCAGAGACTGAGGCAGGAGGATTTGAGTAAGAAGCCAGTCTGGGTATGATCCTGTTTTGTTTTGTTAAAAGAAGAAGCACAAATATCAGGGGTCTTTTTTTTCTTTTCTTTAACTACATATTGAAGCTCACAAGACAACCACAGGTACACTTCACGTTCTGTTTGTGGAGAAGGGTATAAGACAGGACACACAGCTCTCAGCAGGATGTCCTTGGGAGTCCATCTTCAGTGGAACCAGTCCACAGAGCCTCAGATCACAGAGGCATCTAGATGCTGCTTCTCTTTGGGCCTCAAGGATTTGGCTAAGGAACAATGAAAGTTAAGGACAAGAATCACCCTCTGGCACCTCCCAGGAACACAACTCTCTAGCCATAGTTTCCAAGGTCCCCATACAGGATGGACCAGTGAAAAGAGTCACCGTACTCAAGAACACACTGAGTAGCCTGGGACCAGATATGACTAGGTCCCTCTGTCCATTTTTAATCACAGGCCATTTTCATCAGCAGCAACGGTTGACATTCTTCCTATATCAGGTTCCCCGGAGGACATGATACAAAGTGAAGGTCAGATTCTCACACAAAATAGATAAGGACTTTCGTCCCCACTCCTGCAAGCACACAGGCATTAAGGGGTAAAGCTGGATCTGGATTCACTGCTGGTGTCTCCAGGGCCCTTGACTTTAATCATCAGGTTTCACGACTCAAAACAAAGGTGTCCCTCGGGCGGGCGGGCTGGTTTCTCCCCATCCCAGCCTCTCTCAGCAGGTCACCCCACAGATGCAAAAGGCTGGGCTCAGTATGACTTCCTCAACAACACAGGGCCACCGTGGGCCAATAAGTGCCACATGTTACCCAAAGTTACAACTGCCAGGCTAGTGGTTGTCACATAAGAAAACATCCTACGGGGCTGGAGAGATGGCTCAGTGGTTAAGAGCACTGACTGTTCTTCCAGAGGTCCTGAGTTCAACTCCCTCCCAGCAACCACATGGTGGCTCTCAACCATCTCTGGCGCTTATAATAAATAGCTAAAAAAAAAAAAAAAAAAAAAAAAAACATCCTACAGAGGACCAGAGAAATGATAGCTCAGTGGAAAAAAGTATGTGCTAATGCTACCACATCTGAGGACCCAAGTTCCATTCCCAGGAACCACATGATAGAAGAAGAAGATCTACCCTTGCAAGTTGTCCCCTAACCTCCGCAAGTGTACAGTGACACACACGGGCACACAATTCACACATACACACAAATAATGAATATATAAAGAACATTTAGTTGGCGTCCAATCAGCATCTTACTAGAAAGCAAACCCAGCTAACTTCAACCACACACCCAGACACTTAGAATTCCATTCCTGAGTCAAGAGTCACCAGGAGGCAAGGTCCTGAGAAGTTGGAGGTGGGCTGGAATGTGGGAGAGAGTAGGGAGAAAAAAAATCAGCCTCCTGGCCTCTTCTCTCCTCACCCCATTATCTTCCCGACCTGACCTTCCTGCTCATCCTTCAGCCTCCTTCCTGGCCTAGCCTGACCCTGTCAAAGCCAAGTGAACTTTGGCTTCAGGTGGAACAGCTGTTCTCAGCTTGGGTGCCCAGCTGAGATGAACAAGGTAGGCAATATTCAAGGAAACAGACGTTATCCAACTCAAGGAGAGAAAAAACAAAACCAAACCCATCTCTATATCAGCACTTTCGTGAGGGAAGAGTCCTGGGCACTCTAGCCCAGGATTTTAAGGCTGAGCTGGGGACTAGTGGATTAGTGACCATGTGTCGTCTACTGGTACGTGTCCAACCCCACCCCAGACCTACTGCTTCAGGGGCTCTGGGAAGGAGCCCCATAATCTGTGTGTGAGCAAACCTTCCCGGTGAGTCTAACCCGGCTGAAGATGAAAATACTGACTCAGTTAGAAAGTGGTTCACCAATAACCTCTCCCTGAACCTGGCTGGACAGCCAGGATAAAGGCTGGGAGGGCAGGGAGCAGAGATGCACTCTGGAAGGCTCTACACACGCATCCCAGAGGAGTTAGCAGCTGATATATGGATTCCTGAATCAATCTTTAGATGTCCTTCCCCAGATCTTCAGGCATTGCCAGACAAGTCAGACAAGGTAAGTCCACTCCTTTGTGCAGTCCAAAAGGTTGAGCACCTCACACCCAAGAGCAGGAAGAGCAGGAAAGGAACACAGGCTCTGCCCTGAGGGCGAGGCACCTCCTCCACAAATCCAGGGGACGGTCTGATACTCAGTTCTGATCACAACAGCAAGGTAAGCCCCCATCAGCTCAGTACAGAGGCCGTGTGACCACCCCGGGAGCCTGCTATGCTGACAGTCACATCACTGGGAGACAGATGTGCAGGTCCTGAGAAGGAGGCAGGCAGATGTGACAGGCCTCACTGGGGGTCTCCTTCCTTTGTTGAGGCTAGTTTTTTTCCCCCAAACTATTTCAGGGACCACTTAAAAATTCAAAAATGAAGCCAGGCCGTGGTGGCACAGGCCTTTAATTCCAGTACTTGGGAGGCAGAGGCAGGCAGATTGCTATGAGCTGGAGGCCAGCCTGGTCTACAAAGCGAGTTCCAGGACAGCCAGGGCTACAAAGAGAAATTCTGTCTCAAAAAAAAAAAGCTGGCAAATACATTTTTTTAAATCAGAATCTCGCCGGGCGGTGGTGGAGCACGCCTTTAATCCCAGCACTCGGGAGGCAGAGCCAGGCGGATCTCTGTGAGTTCGAGGCCAGCCTGGTCTCCAAAGCGAGTACCAGGAAAGGCGCAAAGCTACACAGAGAAACCCTGTCTCGAAAAACCAAAAAAAAAAAAAAAAAAAAAAAAATCAGAATCTCCTACAATGGGGCTCAAGAACCTGCATTTTAACAGAAAGAAAGAATGGGGGAAGGAAGGATGGAAGGAAGGAAGGAAGGAAGGAAGGAAGGAAGGAAGGAAGGAAGGAAGGAAGGAGGGAGGATACTAGGTATTATTTCTCAAACTAGAGTTTGGCTTCAGGAACACAGATGATAAAAGACCAGACCAAGACTCCCAGGTGGTGGGGTTCACATGGAAGAGAATGAGCCCCAAGACCAGGAGATCAACCCTTCTCACAGCTACTTCAGAAATTCCCAAATCTGCTCTAAGTCAGAAATGCCCAGAATGTTTACAAAAGGCAGGTCTTCACCTATGCTGCCTAGATCTGAGTTTCCCGAAGAGAAACATGGAAAACAAAACACTTCATCAAGCACGCCATTGGATTCTATCCTTGGGGAAGCTTGCTGTGCTTTGTGTCACGGTGACAAATTATGAGTGTGGGGGTTTTGTCTGTGAGTGTGTCTGCACCACATACATGCCTGGATGCCTAGGGAGACCAGAAGAGGGAGTCAGATCACCTCGGATTAGAGTTACAGATGCTTGTGGGTGCTGGGAATTGGACCCATATCCTCTGAAAGAGCAGTTAATCCATGCTCTTACCTGCTGAGCTGCCATCTCTCAGCCCTACTGGCAGGCAATGTTAAGCACAGATCTGGAAGGAAATGTATGGGCAACTATAGAACATGCAAGCAAATTCTGGCTTTGGAGTTGGGTGTGATGGCATATACCTGTAGTTCCAGCTATTGGGGAGCTGACACAGGAGGATCACTCAAGACTTTGTCTGAAGTCTGGGTTATGTAATAAGAGAGAAAACGTAGGCTTTCAAGTTTAACAAACTTGTGTTTGAATCTGGCTCTGCCACTTTCAGATATGACCTTAGTCTAAACACCTAGTCTCTCTGAGTTTCAAATTCTTTCTCTGTTAAGTGAGGATAATTACAGTACTGACCTCACATGATGTGGTGGTTTGAATAGGTATGGCCCCCATAGACTCGTGCTTGAATGCTTGGCCTATAGGGAGTGGCACTGTTAGGAGGTGTGGCCTTGTTGGAGAAAGTGTGTCACTTTAGGGGTGGGTTTTGAGTTCTCATATATGCTCAAGCTGCACCCAGTGAAGTACACAGTTCTGCTGTGGAATAATCCTCTTGCACACTGTAAAGATTTGTCACTGGAATTGGTTTAATAAAATGCTGATTGGCCAGTCGCCAGGTAGGAAGTATAGGCAGGGTGACCAAACTAAGAATTCTGGGAAGAGGAAGGGCAGAGTCAGGAGTCCCCAGCCAGATGCAGAGGAAGCAAAAATGAGAATGTCGTACTGAGAAAGGTACCAAGCCACGTAGCTAAACATAGATAAGAATTATGGGATAATTTAAGTGTAAGAGCTAGTTAGTAATAAGCCTGAGCTACTGGCCCAGCACTTAAAAATTAATACTAAGCCTCCAAGTCAATTATTTGGGAAGCATCTGCTGGGTATTTGGGAGTTGCTGGCAGGACAGAAATTTCCGTTTACAAGGTTCACTTCCTGTTGCTTATGGATCAAGATGTAGAACTCTGAGCTCTTTCTTCAGCACCATGTCTGCCTGCATGCTGCCTTGCTTCCTGCCATGACGATAATGGACTAAACCTCTGAAACTGTAGGCCAGCCCCAAGTAAATGCTTTCCTTTATAAGAGTTGCCATGGTCATGGTGTCTCTTCACAACAATAGAAATCCTAACTAAGACACGGGTACAGGAGGAGTTAACTCAGATCTGATGATGGTGATGTTACAAAACAGTGACTTATGCACCCATAGGAAACATGAAGTCATGGCTGGCCCAAAGAGTCTCACTTTAGTTTGTTTTACAACCTCATGTCTTTGTTTCACAGGTTACTGAGCATGTCACACACCTGATTTACTTTTAACTTTACCCTGTGGTTGAACGGTCAAGTGTAGGCTGTGAGGCAGTACACTCGGGCAGAGCTACAACTCCTTGAACTAAGAGTGCCCATTCACAGACTAGGAGCCACCTAAAGGATGGCTACTTTGAATGCTATCGCCTTGTTCTTTGTTTTGTTTTCGAGACAGGGTTTCTGTGCACAGCCCGGGCTGTCCTAAAACTCACGCTGTAGATCAGGCTGGCCTGGAACTCACAGAGATCTGCCTGCCTCTGTCTCCTGAGTGCTGGGATTAAAGGTGTGCGCCACCACACCCAGCCGGCAAGACTAATTTACAGATTCATTCATTAACTCACTCACTCATCCGTCCATCACTCCTGGAGTAGCAATCCACTCACTGAATTCAGTGTAGTGGGGAGCTGGATTGAGAGCTTTTATTTTAAGACCTAAGTATTAAGATGTTAACGAGAGAGGAAAAGTCATGTATAACTGCTGGAGAGACAGGATACTGAGATCAGAACCTGCAGGGAAAGGAATGGTCTTCCTAGGGTGGACTTTACAAGGTCTGCAGAGGCCCCAAGGTCAACCCTAACCAACTTTACCTGCACGTTTGGGACTTGGGAAGAGTAAGAAACACAGACACGTCAGGCTAGTTCCATCACTCGTGGACACCTGTGCACCTTACCGTAGGTGATGACCAGCAGCACGAAGTTGAGGTTTTTGAAGAGCCGGACGATGGAACTTAAGTACGAAGCATCAGTGGACGACGCCATGGCATAGCTCAAGGACTGGGCCCTGCTGGGAGGATACTTGGGCTTCTCCTTGAACACTGAAAGGAAAGGAAGAGAGATGATGGGAAATTCCTGTGGTCCCATCCCAGCAGTACCTACCGGCTCCACACAGACACAAGCTGGCTCCATCATCTCGGGAGGGGCTGAAACTGTAAAGGAAATAGCAGTTTCCAGAGAAATCTTCCTAGTCCCTTTCCTGAAGCTGTTTTCTCGTTGTCTGAGGCTTTGCAGTGGAGTCCTTCCATTGCCTTTTCTTTTTATCTCGTTTGCAGTAGAGGGGATAGAACCTAGGGCCTCGAGCGTGCGAGGCCAGCTCTTTATCTCCGAGCTATTTCCTCCAGCACTGTCATTTTATTTTTTAATTGCCTTTTCTTTAATTGCCTCCCTCAACCTCCCAGGCAGTGTTCAAAGATCAAGGCAGCCCACAATAACTAGCAAATAACATAACACAAAGCACGGGGTGTGGGGGAGGCACATGGGTGCAAAGAAGTGAAAGCTAAACTTTGGAAGGTTAGTGAACCCTGTGCACAGCTGAGCGCCAGCGTTCCTTCCAGAGGGGGATGGGACGTGTGACTCCAGAGTCATATAGTCTGGAACACGGCAGCCAGAAGTCGTTCCCTGAGTTAAAGAAAATGACGCCAGCAAACACTGAGCGTGTATTCCTAGTTTCGCCAACGCTGAGTCAGCCGTGTCTTACGAAAGAAACAAGATCCAGGAGTGACCACCCTCGTGTTCAAGGCCGGGGAGTGACTGTGGGGAAACTACTCCGTTTAGCGTCTAATTCCACACAGCCGGTGTGATTTGACCCCACCGAGTGTCGTTTGGCTCTCCGCAGGGCAGGTTGTGTTTTTAACTAGGTATTTGACTCAATTGGTTCCCCCACGGGGTCTGAGCCAGCACTCACTACGTGGCCCCTGGCAAGTCCTAAGAGACCGCTGCTGGAAGGTGAGCAGCCTGCCCCCGGAGGAAGTTCTGGAAATGAGCTTGGCTCTCTGAGCAGATCAAAGTGCCCCACCCCCAACCGTTCCAGCTTTGACTTCAGAGCCCTGCCTCTTCCTTCTCCAATAATAGTGCTGGATAAATTCTCCCCCTGGGAAGTGCTATCCATTGTCTTGGCTGCTCAGCTCTCTTCCCATCAGAAGAAAGTAAGGCAGGAAGGTGATTTAGCTTCACAGCACTGGCTGTTGTGGAAAGGATTTGGCAACCAGGAACCAGGACTCATATAAGATTTTTTTTTTTCATCCTTCACTCAGTCAACCACTATCTAATTCAATACCCAAACCAAGCAACGTCCTACCACCTAGGTTTGCAGTTGCAAAGAGCCAGGACCTCACGGGGCTGTGAGCACAAGCCTCTGGAGGCAGGCCCATTACAATGGAAAACGGTCAGTGGAGCCAAGAGGCCCTGGGCTGGTTCATTCGGTTCATTCTTTCTTGCTTTCACTCATAGCTCCCCGCTGCTGGCCTTAGGGACCGCTGGCCTCTGTCTAAGCTACCTGGGATGAAATGATATAGAGAGTGATGGGATGAGATACACATTTAACTCCCCGACTCTGCAGGTGAGCCAGCCCACAGGGATAAACCTTTAACACCTGAGCTAGGACTTCAGGACAGAGGGCAGAGGCTGACCTTTTAGATGGGTGACTAGCAGGGAAGAAAATCCTACCTGGATGTCTCTGAATTGACCCTAGTAATATCATTTAGATGAAAACAGTAAGTTTTTCTCTTTTATTTTTGTTCACTTTTTTGGGGGGTGGGTTTGTTGTTGTTTGTTTTCTTTGAGACAAAGAAGGGTCATCCTATGTAGCATAAGCTGTCCTTCAATTAGTCATCCTCCTGCCTCAGCCCCCAGAGTGCAAGGATCATAGGGCCCATCCAGGAAATAGAAACAATCAAATACTTAGATGAGTAATTGGACATCTGTGTAAAAGGTTAATAGCAGTGGCCTGAGTTTCCTTGTTGGGATGAAGTTGTTCAAGGATGAATTAATGGCCATTCCTTTCTTTAGACTCCTTTTTATGTTTAGATTTTTTCCACAGCACATATATTACTTTTATGATCAATAATAATGAAGAAGAAATTTGGTCCCCAAGTATTCTCAGGTTAACCTTAGATTATTAGTGTTTGTGGGGCAATTTCTGTTTATAATTTAGAATGTGGCATTAAATAAGCTTGGACTTGAATCCATTCCCGGTCACTTGCTCGTGGTCTAATCTAGAATGACCCACTAATTTCCCTCAAGTCTTAGCTTCCTTGTTGAAGAGGCCCTACAAGGCACCTCATTGGCTGGGTTTCTGGGGATTAGATGAAAACAGACATTCTTAACACAATGCCTATGACACTGGAGGTCCTCTCTGGGTCTCATCAAGGTGACAGCAGTCCACCTAATTCTTCTGGTGAGGTGGGACTAGAGTCTGGTCAACTACAATTAAACCTTTCCTGGGCTGCTAACAAAGTACATAGCACCAGTTAGGGCTGTGTTAGGGACAGTTACTCAGGTTAAAACATCTCAAGACTATAAGAAGCCTGTTCTCCTGTATCTCTAAGTATCTGTGGTATTTAGGGCCCTGTTCAAAGGGTGCCACCAGGGTTGACATAACTTCCCCACCCCTTGCCCACCAGCAGCCTACACTAATGATCTTACCGATGATGACAAGGATGAAGAGGAGGGTGGCCACACCTCCTATTATGTAGAACATGATGCTGATGTGGTAGGCAAGCTTTTCCTGGTCTTTGATGTTGGGTACCAGAACAGGAGGGACCAAAAACCCAATTGCAATTCCAAGCTATAGAAGACAGACACATCAATGAGTTATCAAATGGCCAAGAGCTAAGAGACAAATTTAGAGATCGCTGATAGGAAACATAATTTCTCAGGCTGGGGAGATGGCTCACTTGGTAAAGTGCTTGGCATGCAAGCATGAGGACCTGAACCCACACACCTAGCACCTACATAAAAACTGGGTGTGGCTGCATGTGGCTGTCACCCCAACATTGGGAGGACAGAGACAGACAGATCCCCGAAGCTCACTGGCTGGCCAGCCTAGCAGAATCAAGGAACCCCTATTTCAAAAAACAAAGGTAGAGAACAATGGAGGAAGACAATATAAACTGTAGACGGATTTTTCTTTGGGCCACTAGTTCACAAATAATACCACAGAGACTTATTATTAATTATGACAGCTCAGCCTTAGCTTAGGCTTGTCCCACCAGCTCTTACAACATAAATTAACGCATTTATTTTAATCTACATTCCGTCACGTGGTGGCTCATCTCCCCACACTGTCCATGCTGCTTCCTTTGTATCTGGCTGGCAACTCCACCTTCTTCCCAGAGTTCTCTCTCTGCCTGGAAGTCCCCCTACACCTCCTACCTAGCTATTGGCCATTCAGCTTTTTATTACACCAATCACAATACATTTTCCCACAGTGTACAAATATGCCATAACAGTTGACCTCATGGCAACATGTACACATACCCACATGAACATGTACATATACTATACACATGCACATGCACATACATGGAAATTTAATTCCCAACTTCCAGGCCTTCCTCACACACAAATCAGAATTACTTCCCCCACCAAGACTCTTTTGGTTGACAGTTTGACTAATACACTACACACTTCTGACCCCAAGACTATGGAGAAAAAAAAATCATACAGCAGGCTGGCTCTCTCTAGTGCAAACTAATGAATAATGGTTTCCATAGCCCCATCTCTGGGATACAGTGATAGAATGCTGTTGGTTTTTTTTCCTCTTGTGCTATTGAAATGATCAGTTTCACCAAATCTGTTAGCCCAGTGCTAGGAGATCAGCCGAAAAGCTTCTATTACCTTTAGCCACAGAACCTGCCTTCGGTGAAAGCTGGAAGCTGTTGGCCCATTTATAAGCATGAATGCCTCACTTCATTGTGTAATAACTTAGCAACATCCAAAGTTTCTGTAGCATGAGGTCATACACAACCGCAAAATGGTTACACACACACACACACACACACACACACACACACACACACACACACACACTTGTGCGCAAATGAAAATACCTCATGTCAGTGTTGGAGTGCAAAAGTCCCAGGACCTAGCAGATAACAGAACCTGGGTGTTCCTGAAATCAGAAACACTGATTCAGCATTAACTGACAGACAACTCCCAAAAGTCCTTCTACATGCTTAATTGTTGGGATCCAGGGCAGTCTGGGGCTTTCCCTGAGGCCTGGATGTACAGAGAAGGACTATAGTTTCTTGCTGAAAGCAGGAACATGCTTGGTAAGGTCAGTAATGGTCTGGGGCCAGGGCCTTGAGGAGGCTGCAGTTTCGGATCCTTGGAACTACTTTGCCCCGATTTGAAGGTGTGTGGTTATCAGTTCCAAGGCCGCTGAGTACCCAGTCTGCGGTGCACTTGAGGCAGCCCATGTTCCCTTTGTGTGACATCACTTTAGCTCATCGCTGAGTCTACGCCATTGTATGGTAGCTTGACAGCATCTGATGGTTCTGTCCCATGTTGCCCTGAAGACAGTATGTAAGATGTTGTCCTCTCAATAAGCTTGCTTGACTTGAGCCATCGACTCGTGAAAGATCTTCTGACCCTGATTTACCTATCTTCATTTTTCTCATCCTTGGCCCTCCCCTTCAGGAGTCTGACAGTGAAGAACAGCCTGTAGGGCCAGGTCACATGATACCAAGGCAGAAACAGAGAGAGTTCATCAACTCAGGAAGGCTTCCTACTCCACAAGCACAGGACAGATGGACCAACAAGAGTCAGTCCTGGGATGCAAAGCCCATTCAGCTCGGCCGTACAGAAAGGAGCAGCAGATGGAGAAACAGTTAGCCCTTCCTCCTCACTGTCATGCCCTTCAGCTGCCAAGTGAGCTTCCACGCACTTCCTGATGTTTCCTCGGTCAATTATTGTCAGTCAAATGCCCCCACAATAGTGGTTCCTAGCTCTGGAGTACGCACAAGGCTGTGTGAAGGGATTGAGTAACACAGCTGTTAAAAGCACTTGCTGTTCTGCCAGAGGACCCAAGTTCTGTTACCAGCACACACACTAGGGAACGAACTCACAACCACTTGTAACTAGTGGTTGAATCTGATGCCTTCTTCTGGCCTCCATGAGCACCTGCATATACATGTCACACACACACACACACACACACACACACACACACACACACACACACAGAGGCACACATGCTAAACAAACAAATGTAAAAAACATATGACAAACAAAAGGAAATTAAAGTCAAATCTGTCTTATTCTTCCTGTAACTTCAAGGAAGATATCACCATGCTTTGGTAATGCCAATGGTCAGGGATATTTCCGGGCATAGTTAAATACATGTCTGTGCAGCCTGAGGTCTTTGAGTAGCAGGACATTGCTGTGGGATGTTCTGTGTGGCAAATGTGTTGCTAATTAGTCAATAAATAAAACACTGATTGGCCATTGGCTAGGCAGGAAGTGTAGGCGGGACAAGGAGGAGAATAAAGCTGGGAAGTGGAAGGCTGAGTCAGAGAGACACTGCCAGCCGCCATGATGAGAAACAGCATGTAAAGATGCCGGTAAGCCACGAGCCATGTGGCAAGGTGTAGATTAATGGAAATGGATTAATTTAAGCTATAAGAACAGTTATCTAGAAGCCTGTCATGGCCATACAGTTTGTAACCAATATAAGTCTCTGTGTTTACTTGGTCGGGTTTGAGCGGTTGTGGGACTGGCGGGTGGCAGAGATTTATCCTGACTGTGGGCCAGGCAGGAAAACTCCAGCTACAGGACATACTTTGTGTGACCCTGTCATTGTCCCCATGGCTCATGCATTAGAGGAGCAAAAATAAACCAGCAAGCCATCAGTGCTGGTGTGTAGTTTAGTGGAAGTGTTTGCCTAATGTAAGCAAGGCCTTGGGTCCATCCTGAGCACTATCTCCCACCAAATTCACACATCTAATTTATTATGAAATGCAACATATGCTGTGTCATCTCTGAGGTCCACAGAATCTCTGTCCCATCACCATCCACATAATCTGGATCAGCAAATCCCTGTGTGAGTCACACGATTCAATCAGGGCCGTAGCACAGTGCTGTTCTTCCCAGTCCTGGCTGGTCATGGGATCAGAATATTGACCAGACCATTAGAAGACTCTGCGTTTCCCACACACAAAAAAAAAAATCAGGCAATTTTGTACCCACATAATAATGAGGGTTTGGGTCCACATGGAACACGGAATGACTGGTCCCCATCTGAGCATTTAGTTAAGGTCCTGGGGATTTCATCTTCCTGATACAAGCTGTTGGCAAGATGGACTCTGCCCTTCTCCATCAAGAGACGAGAACCTCAATAGTCTTACTGACCCAAGCTCATGTCTCCTTCGGCCACCCAGCTCCCAGGCATCCTGGGCTATTCCTAGAAAGATAAACTCACTCTAAGCCCTAGACCTGGGCACCAGTGGGCTCATTCCTTTCCCTAGTCACAGTCTCTAGGATGAGCCAAATGCATTCCTCTGAACTTCAGAGTTCCCAGGAACTAGCTCTCCATTGCCAACTGAAAAGTGTCCCTTCCCTGGGTCAATACCTCTCCCTGCAGGAAAGCCCTCTGGCTCTGAGGGCTGCCATCAAATCTGGTCTCCTGTGATGTCACCTGGGCCTGCTTTGCTTCTTGAGGGGCTCGTGCCCCACTGTTCAAGTTTCCCATAAAAAAACTCTCCTGCTTTCTACCTCGGCATACACCGTACCTATCACACTGCACAGTGGTAGAGGGACCTGCTCTGTGGCCAAAGATCTGAATTCAACCTCAGCTCCACCAGGTGAACTCACCCACAGTTCCCAGTTTCTTCCTCCTCACAAGAGAAGACCATCCCTGGCTCACTGGGGGGGGGCTCATCCCTGGCTCCCTGGGGGGGGGCTCATCCCTGGCTCACTGGGGGGGGGGCTCATCCCTGGCTCACTGGGGATGGGCTCATCCCTGGCTCCCTGGGGGTGGGCTCATCCCTGGCTCCCTGGGGGGCAGGGGGGGCTCATCCCTGGCTCCCTGGGGGTGGGCTCATCCCTGGCTCCCTGGGGGGCGGGGGGGGGGCTCATCCCTGGCTCCCTGGGGGGGGGTGGGCTCATCCCTGGCTCCCTGGGGGGGGGGCTCATCCCTCATCTGCAACTCCAGCTCTTCTACTTCCCACTCTCAGTGGTCTCAGGCAGCAGGTCCAGTGGACTCCCACACACGCCTGGCTTATTAAGGGCTCCCCTCCCAAGGTCCTCCCCTGGCTCTCCACCACCTCCCTCTCCCAGCTCCTCCTATATACTCTTCCCATTCCTTCAGTCATCTTTCACAACACCCTCCCTCCTCCCCCTTCACCCTTTCTAGCTCCCTGCTAGGCAACTGCAATCTCTCCTTCAGCCAGCCCGCCAGTGCTCACACTTTTCAATGCTCACTGGCCACACTGCCCTGCTCCAAAGTCTTCAAGGAACTGTTCCCCTCCACCACCAGCATCACCCAGAAGAAGAAAGGAAATCCATCCAGCACTTCCCTCCCTCCCCCAGCATGCTGCTCTGGGCTTTTATTATGATTTCCAATCACTTCCCAGTCTCATTTTGTCTCGTGTCACCACAGACCCCACCCTCCCATCCAGATAGGACAAACCATGATGCCACCCCTCTAGTTGACACCTTTATTAGAAATTCTCTATTATTCCAATGCCACCTCTATGGCAGTCTCTATTTACAGGGCTTTCCTTGATTTCCCCAGGCAGGCATGATCTCCTTGCCATTAACCTTCTCCGAGCCTTTGGTTTCCGCCAT